ACACACACACACACAAAAAACTCTTCAGCACATCTGGCAAGAAATCACCATTCCTCACTCAACTTCAATTATTTCCTATCGGATAAAATCACCTGGACAAATGAAATATATTTATTTCTAGTGGAATATCATCACATGGCAATAAAATGTATTCTATTCTACTTCGTGTTGCAATTTACAAGCAAACACGCAAATTACAGACGAATATAAATGCACATTTGCAAGCAAGCATGCCAGTGAGAGACTAATATAAAGACAAAGTGTGACTAACAAAACAAAACATCATTTTAAAGACCAGACTGAACACATTTTGGCTGCAGTAGGATGGCACTTTCACTTTACACAACTTGAACAAAAAAGTTATTTCTTCATCCGATTCAGTCACTTGCTAATTTCAAAACTGAAAAAAAAGAGTCTGTTAAACAGCTCACACAAGAATTTGGCAAGCAGAAACAATCCTTCTTGCTGCAAAGTTGCAACATCGCTTGTTGAATCAAAGAATGCAACAGAAAATGACCACAGTCACCTTCTTCTCGAAACAAAAAGGAGCAACCTTGATGAGTCATTCATTCCGATAAAGGCGAAACACAGAAACACACCGCCTCCTCCCACGTTCGCGACCGACCTCAAATTGGAGGCCGTATTGATACGTCTTGCTGAGGGGGTCAAGTTGCAGCCGAGGAGGAGGAAGAGGAGAAGGAGGCCGCAAATGGCTCCTTAATCAGGTTGGACAATGTGTTGTTGTGATACGAGCGGCCCCGGTTTAGCGGCCAGAGCCACTCTATTCCCATAATTATTGTTCCGTTTCATCTGGAGGACTGCAGGGAGGAATGTGACTGATCACTGTATCACGAGGAGTAGGGAGGGAACTTGAGGGGGGGAGGAAATGGGAGACAGTTGACCTGCGGGACACAGAAGCATCACCCTCCACACGCCACCTCCTCCCTGTTTTTTTTTTTATTTTTTTTTTTTAGCCTTTGCATCTATTTCTTCAATAAAAGTGGGGTCACCGGGACAATGGACTGGCCTTTTGCCATCGAGAGAAAAAGCAATCTCCTTCGAAGATTTGATTTGCGTTCCTCGCAGCGCTGGACGCACGGTCAGAAAAGAGTAAAGGTGGGGTGGGCGGTGCCGGTTCTTCTTCGAGTAATCACTCAACAAGCTCAGCAGATTTCGCAAAAAGATAGCAAGGAGAAGAAAAGATAAAGACAGGATGTCACAGCTGCCCCACTCGATGATTTACCAAGGCGGCGGTGGCAAACTGCAACGCTTAAGTTGAAGCAAACATGAGCAGATGGTGGAATAGGCACTAATAAGATGCTAAAAAAAAAGGGATGCATAAAAGGTGTCACCGCCAATCTGTTCAATTTATAGGTAAAGACATTTCTGCAGTGTTCTCTTTTGTCCGACCGTGACAATTTACAGTTTAAAAATAAAGCGGTGATAAAAGGGGACGTTGTGATGCTGATAGAAAAATCATTTGGCAGACGGCATCTCAGCATGGATGGCATGCTAGCATTCAATTAACGTTACCACCATTAACCTGTGTGTTGATAACACTGCAATGAAGGGTAGCTATTGGAAATGCAGGTACCACTTGAGTATGAGTAAGGGTCTCTTGGTTGTTTATAAATAGACTATTAATGCTTTATTAAAACCCGAAACCTTATAAAACAATCATGAACACCAATGACGGCTCACTATGAGGCACGTGTAAGTCATTTGAAACATCAATATTATGGCTGACGAGAGTGAGTAAGACTCTCTAGTTTACTAGTATAATTGCAACAACAAACAACACTAAATCAGCGTATATTATGCATTTTCTCAGAATGTTCCTATTGCAGGGTAAAAACAAATGCCTTTGAACTGTAAGCGTTAGGACACTATTTGGTAAAAGTGTTGCGTATTTGAAAAAAGTAGAAAATCACACTCAGACGCAAGTCTTTCATGAAGGGAAGAGCTACAAGAATTTAGTCATCAATTTGGCAGACAAAAACATCCAAGCTAAAAGGTGCATTAAAAAAAAAAAAAAAATCAAACAAGACCGATTCAATCAAAACACTTGAAATGTAGCTATGGGTTTGTATGTCAGCACAAAGAGCCTGATTATTTTCTTAACGATTGGCAAGCCAATATCATGGAATCTTATGGCATTTCCCCATATTGGGACTTTTAATAACTGACCAAGGATCTGTTTTTGTCGGCTCCCATGCGGATGCAGACGCCTCCCTGACTGCAACGAAGCTTAACTTTGAGTCTTAATGCATATTTTTGCAGAGACAGACACTCCCCCTCGTTGAGCTTTTTTTTGGACAAAAATCCCCCGATTTGGCGGGAATGCGTTTCTAAAGAGGCGACCGGCTCACCCGTAGGTCTGCCCCCGCCGCTGAGCCCCTGAGGCACATTGTGGTGACTCAAAGACAAAGATCCCCCCCAACTCAGTGAAGAGGGTTTAGATTCGGTTTACCCCAGACCGCTGAGCGACCATAACCCCAGCAACCTTTGGCCACTCTTTCCCGGACGCCGGCAACTATTCTACCTTATTCCTGATAACGGAATTTCCCATAGATCCTTCGCCATCTGCTGGATTATAGATTCCTCTCTTCCTTGAGACAAGCCAGGACCCCAGAGGGAGGATCAGTGGCGAAAAAGCGTGGAAGAGCGCTCTAGGCCATAGCCATAGTTGCGGATGAGATTACATTTTCTATTTATGCTTGCAGCGGGGAGTCGGCCCTGATGAATACGCAGCGTTATTACCTTTTAATATCAACAGGGCTCCCCACACGCTCAAATTATATTCGATCAATTGTGACAGAGGGGTACACATGTGACAAACAACCTGCCGCATTCGCAGCATCATTTCACTCCATCACCCGCCAATTTAGTCCAAACCCAGCGGCCCCGTCGGGGAATCAATCATGCTACCAAAGTGAATTATTGAGGCGGAGAGATCGTGTTAAAAGTCAGCTCTTTTTCTTTGGCTTAAGAAGAATTGGAAACAAAACAAAAAAAAAACCAAACAAACAAACCAATGGTCATCACTTTGATGGAGGCGGTACATGTCGAGTATTGTCCCAGCAAAGCAAATAATGGCCCCTCTCACAAACAATGACACGGGTGCGTAAACACAGCACCACTTCCCGCTCACATTTCCGTCTCTGTCGTTTAGCCTTCCCGTGTGAAGGTGGACAAATCCTCACCATACTGAAAGAGAGACAATTGTGAAACGCGTAAAATAGACAAGAAAGGTGAAAGAAGTCAACCTTATTTTAACCTCCTATCATTGGTGACGTTTATTTGCCAGTGTCTCTCAAACAGAGGGATATTGAGGTGTCCATTGAGCGTCTTCGCGCATTCAGGTAATGTGTAGCAATGTCAGGGGAAAGTGACAAGTACTTTCATTACAAATGGTTACTTTGGTCATTCACCATTTAAGGCTACGGTACTGTAAGATTCCACACCGCATTGGTACCTTATACACAGGTCGTAGCTGGCGAGCGTGAAAGGGGTTTGTGGGACGGGCATTTAACCGAACTTCCTCAGTGAACTTTTCATGGAGCACAACTTCCCAAATTGACATTTGTTTTTCTTTTTCAGACCAAACATCGCACCCGCATATTTTTGAGTCAAGTAGTGCACTCAGTTTTGCTGTTTCACCGCTGATCAAAATTCAATTCCACATAATGGACAACATTTTTTACGATCACTTACGGTAATCGATTAATCAGTTACGACACCCATCTGTACCATCTATGGAAGGAAAAAGCCTGCTATGCCTACTTGTCCTTTTTACTGTCAGACTCAGACAATAATCCAGACTTGTCTCCATGTCACTCAGGCCTAGAGGCTCCATAGACGTCCAGTTGGAAGACATGTGATTAATTATACATACATTGATAGAAAGGGCCTTCATTATTCATGTCTTTTAGAGCCATTTCCCTCCCTTTCAGAGTGATGAAAAGATCTTAAATAATAGGCCCCCCTCTGCAGACATCTGCATTCCAGCGTAGTCGAGCGACGCTTAAGCAGCTTATGTCTGTTGTCTTTCTGGGTGGGGAGGGGGTCGCCGCTCACCTCTGACATTTTTCCCCCCAAACTTTGGTGGTCATGTGACTTCCTGCGGTGGTTGTTTTGTGTTGCCTTTGTCCCGAGTGACAAGGCTGGTCGGCGTTAGTTGAATAGCGATCTTGGTACCGCGTCATCAAACTTCTGAAGCGGCCAAAGGGTTTCATTGAACACCTGTTCAGCATTCATGGCTGCACGTGCCCATGGACTCAATCCATCTCAGAGTAAGAAAAAAGCGTATGAGATAAAGTTCTACGGTTCTCCATAATAATGAGGCGGGAAGGTTGTGGGAGAAAAAAATAATCGGTGCTGTTTCCTATGAGAAATCAGCTGAAGAATTGCCCCCCTTCAGGGCAGGTCTTTGGTGATTTTATTACATTTGGATCTCGGGCCAAAAAGTTTTCAGTCATCTCATCCCTACCAGAAAAGGTATAATTTGGCATAGAGGAGGGAGGTTTGGAAGAAGGAAATGATGAGCTTTTCTTGAAAGTATTTGTGCTTCTGGCCCCTTGGGAATAAGCACTACTACACACATAAAACAGTGAGCGGTCACTTTTTTGTTATTTTTGGGTGTGAGAATTATTCGATAGCGTTGAGTCCTCTCAGTTGTGCCCTACATTAGCCAGTGTTGTGGGGAGAAGTGAGGCACACTAATTTAGAGCATGACATATTCCCAAAGGTTTACACCCCTTGGGCCGGGACTTACAAACACACATTCAGAAAGAGTGTATATAACATAAACACGAGCAACAGAGTCAACAGCGTAACTTTTGCTGAAAGAAGCGTTACAGAAATTATTAGTGTGCAATTAACTCAGGAAACCAGGAAGAGATAAATTAGCCAAATGAGAACTGATGAACCTTCCTCCTCACAACATGATGGAGCATCATTTTGTTTTCCTCCTTGGATTGACTAGTGCACAGTTCTGCGGTCTATTTCTGTCCAAATACCAAACACCTGAAAAAAACAGAATGTGTAACTATTCAGGTGTCAACAAGCAATATGGAATTCGAATGGCTGATGTGGATATTTAGCATGTATTTATGTGGTGGTAGTAACTACCAGAACAACACTCACATATACGGCTGCTCCCACTACCCTAAACTGAATAAATCTAAGCAACGAATAGCTCCTCGCACCATCATGTCCATCCAGGAAACAACAAAGTTTTAGATTGCGCAAGACAGAGGATTCGATGTGAGTACTGTACACACAATTTCTTCAGAGCCGGACATGAGGTCACACTTGAAACTTGAAGAGTTGATGGAATGAGTTTTATGAGGAGTTATCATGCTCCACCCACACGCAGTGACAACAACTTCCTTTTATTTAGCGATTTCCTCATCACCCATCTGTTTGGACATCTCATTCAGAACTGATTTTATCCACATTTGGAAGAAGCCTGATTCTATGCCACAGCCCAATTGTGCTACTTGGGAGCAAAAAGAAAATGGTCAAAAGGTGCAGCGTAAATCTGGTATTAAAGGTGGGCAACATTCCCATCTTTCCCTGCATTGCCTTTCCCCACGCACTGTGACAAGGCATCTTTCCAGACATTTCAGTCCGATGGAGATTTTCGGCAGCTCATTACAGACAGCCAAGACTCAGCCAGCGGATGCAGTCGCTCACAGATGGATTGAGTTGATCTGTTTATTGACATGCCTTAATCTGACACTGGGTAAAGGGAATTAGTCACCGCCTCTAGACATACTCCGGCCTCACGAACCACTCCGGCAAATTGGGAGGCAGCGCCTAGGATAGAAGTGGAACTTCATCAGCATTCATTAATCCCACCATCCCAGGCCATTCTCGCAAACAAATCATGTTTACATGATGGGGCTCAGGTGAAAGGGTGACATAGCTTTTAAAGGGCACGTGCAGGTGCTACAATGTCTGTATGTGCTAGCTCTTTAACCCAGTGGTTTTTTTTTTGTTTTATTAATTAAGGGTTTTCAAACCTTTTGGGTCATGGGACGCGTTACAGGGGAGAAATACACTGGTATTTATCATTGCTAGCCGACGAGTGCTGCTTTCATCGACGACGCAATTTTAATAACCTTGCGTTTTGATCGCTCTTTGAGCAATTTTTATGACCACTCTCATGATTGGTTTTCTTTTTAAGAACCAGTGTTTAATTTCTGTGAAGAAGCAGACAACGTGAATTGAAATATTTTATTTATTTTTATTTATTTATTCATTTATTTATTTATTTCATGAAACAGGATATGAGCCGGGTCCTTTTCTTTGAATGATGCCGAATGAAGCATGATAGAGCTAGACGTGTCATTCAATCATATCAGAGCTTCTAAATCGCCTAACATTAGGGTAGAAATGAGCTGCTTTAGTGTGTTTATTTTAGTGATTTACTCCATTTATATGAACCTTACTGATACAACATAATCATTGTGTACAAATTATTTTGCAGAGCCCCAAAAAACAACCCGCAGACCCACAGGGTCCCCAGCCCCCAGGTTGAGAACTTTGTTTTATATAACAGCAAAACAGGGCCACGCCTATCAGTGATCCGGATAAGCAGCTACCACGCTATGATTTTGATCCTGTTTGCTAGTAAATCAATGAGATGCACATCTGTTTAGTCATCTCCAGCGATGGTTTGACTAGGCAGCTGTCAGAGTATTAGCTGCTTTCTCACCATCACCGCATCTGTAAATCCAGCTTCTTAACAGGATCGGGCACTCTCCAATGGAAATATCCTTTGCTATGCTTTACCGAAATACAGTGGGTGAAAGAACAAATAAAGAGGGAGGGGATAAACAATGTGTATTCCCCGTGAGTCAGGAGGGGAATAACGCAACAGGAATCTGCAGTGAAACGTGTTGACCCAAACACACACACACACACACAGTCACAGTGGGAATGAAAACTGGAGCAGTTGTCTCCATCAGGGAAAGGCAACCTAGCAGCATGCAAGCAGGGGGCCGCTGGAAGAGAAAGACAGGGGCCAGATGCAGTTGGCTTGACCCCTAGTGGGGGAAGTGATTGTCTGTGTGTGTGTGTGTGTGTGTGTGTGTGTGTGTGTGTGTGTGTGTGTGTGTGTGTGTGTGTGTGTGTGTGTGTGTGTGCGCGCATGCATGGGGAGGCGGGGGGTGGGGGATTAACTGAACTGACTTCATTTAATTGAATTTGTATTTTGCCCGACTTTGGGGGGCAAACTGATTTTCACCGTGGGGGGATCTACGGGGGTCGTGGAAAACAGCAACAGACGGTGAATCTGCGCCTCCTTCCCCCTGCGGTGCATTGACGGGGGGAAGCCGAGGTGCTGCTGTCTTACCGCACACACATACACAAACACGTATCTTGTTTTCCTGTAATTATGTCTCCATTATGAAGTCTAATCTATCCCATTGAAATTCATCTTTCCACCTTTCCACAGCTTTGATTTCTTAAAATGATGTCCTTTTTAATCCTTTTGTTCCGCCACCCTAAACAACATGTAGTAATTTTGGGTGCTTATCAAAAGCACCGATCCATGCGCGCTTGTGTTTGTATGTCAGCGTGTGTGCTAAGCTGTTATCTTGCAAGAACATATCTCTCCGTGCTGGATGTTTATCTGGGCTGATTGGAAGAGTTCGCCTTGTCCCACTGTCAGCGTACACAATATTATCTGTTGTTTTTCGTCATTTCATTTCTCTCAGGCCCCGATAGTTTGTTCATCGATGGTAGAGAAATCCCTTTAGTCACCCCCAGGCGTCTAATGTACTTTTACTTGTAATCTGTGAGTTTAATAAATCAAATGGGGGAGGAAACAATCCGTGCACAATCGAATGCTTCAACTCCCTTTTGTACTGCAGCAAGGGCGAGGCATGGCTGTCACTATTAGGCGGAGGAGAAACAGCTGCAGCGAGCAAGTACACAACAAACACAACACGCCTTCCTCCTGACGGCTTTAAAGAAAAAGAGCGCAGGGCTCGGCTATCAAGCCGCCGTCCTTTGTAAAGCGGGCAGTCTAAGCAGTACTGTACTTTTTATCACAAACAAATTATTC